GGTGTATAGGCATGGTGACGGTTATCTATGCATCGGAGTCTAGCATGACCGTGAGTCTTGATTGCTTTTAATTCGAGTAATGTGACACAAGCTCCTTGTTTATTTGATAAGTTTCATATAATGTGAACGGTTGAGGAAGAATGATTTAAATGGAGAATGTGTTGTGAATACTCCTTTGCCGGGATGTGTAGACTGATATATATATATTCTCCCTTGTCGGGATATTTTGGGTTGTTAGCNTAATTAGGCGTGTATTTATTAGCGTGGCGGGACTCTGTCCCGACTCTTATGGCATTTATGTATTCTTAGAGGCTTGTAGACATATGTCGTGTACGTGAAAGATTGTATAGCCTTGTCGGCCTATGTCTTGAGTTTATAAATGATTATGTTGGCCTATTAGGCTTGTATTTAACGTGTATATGATGATGTGATAAGAAAGATACGTTACGTTGGTGCTCGGTTGAGTAAGGTGTCAGGTGCCCGTCGCGGCCCATCGATTTGGGCCGTGACAGTAAGGACCGCGCCATGGTGGCGACCATTTATTGAATTCTTCCCAGGTGTAATCCTATTCCAGACCGAAGGTAGTACCATGTTTCTTGAGTTTTATGGGTTTAGAGATTCCTTGGAGGTTCTTGCCGAGCCCTTTGTTAGGTTCGTAGCCACTCTAACTTAGTATACTCTCGAATTTGCTATCTCACCATTTGTCTTTGTCGATAGCATTGACTCATTCAATGTGATGGTAAGTTTCTCCACCCAGCTTCCTTCTTCCCTCGATTGCCAAAATGGTCTGCGACTGTATATAGGGTTGCTACCATCGCCGTGAATAATCACTTCCTGGTGATTCCATTCGAACTTTAATGCCTGATGCAGCGTTGATGCTACGGCCCTAGTGGCATGAATCCATGGCCGTCCCAGCAACAAGTTGTAAAATCCTGGTACATCTATTACCTGGAAATCGACCTCAAACTAGGTTGGTCCCATCTGCAAGCATAGAATAATCTCACCAATGGTGGACCTCTAAGAACTATCGAAAACTTTCACATTGATTACTCCATCTTTTATCTCGTGCAGCCCTTTACCCAGCTTCTTGAGTGTTACCAGCAGACAAATGTTAAGACTGTAACCTCCATCGATTAGGATTCTGGTGATGAAATAATCTTCGCATTGTACAGTGATGTGCAATGCCTTGTTGTGCCCCAACCTTTCAGGTGGCAGCTCGTCCTCATGAAAGGTGATCTTATGTCTTTCCAGCACTTGTCCTACCATGTTAGCCATTTCCCCGCCAGTGATGTTACTTGGTACGTATGCCTCACTTAGCACCTTCAACAAAGCATGTGTGCCTCAGAATTTTGCAGCAAAGAGACACTACTGGAAAAATGATCTACGGTAATGCATGGAAAACCGTTCCAATAGACAATAAAATTGTTGTCATAGAGATATTGGAACGGTTTAGAGACCGTCACATCCGCCCGCGTGCTAATAGAGTTATAGGAACGGTTTGTGTCGTCGTTGCTATAAAGCGGTCTAACACCGTTGGAACAATTATTCCTTCCAATAGGAACGGTTTAACACCGTTACTATAGTGCATATGCAATGGTTTATAATTGTTACCATATTATTTAATGCAACACTTATGTAAGCTATTGTTATGGTTATGTATGCATATAGCAATGGTTTCTTTTAGCTATTGAACGGTTTTATGTTGTATTGCTATGGTTTATAATAAACTACGACAATAAAGGAAAAGCTATTGCATCAGTTTTAACTACCTATTGGAACGGTTTATAGTGCATTTTGGAACAGTTCATAAGGCTTTTTGGAACGGTTTAGAGGACCTATTGCAACAGTTTACGTTATTATTGGAACGCCATTTGTGTCCTATTGCAACAGTTCTGGTAGCTATTAGAACACTTCAATTGAAGCAAAAATATAGCCCATATTGTAAATAAATATTTATATATAAAATAAAATAAAATAAATCACAAAATGAAACTATTAATAATCTATGTTGTCCAAAAAGCTAGTAATATCCATAAATCAAAATATTACCCCAAGTGCATAAGTTTAATATAAATTTCAAAAGAGTAAGTTTCAAATTTTTGATAAACAAAAGATTCCTAGAATATTCATCTATAACAATTCAAAATTCATCTTAAGTAAGGTGCATTCATCTTCCATTTCTTGATCTACTCCACCTACAAAAAAGGATAAATAAAGTCATTACCCTTCAAGAGAATCCGGTCTAAGAACAAAGTACCAGGTAAAAAGAAAAGGACATGACATTCATCAAAATAAATCAGTAGCTAAAATGAGCCAGAACATGTTAAAGCATTAAATGGCTTTTATTTTAGCTACTTTACATGCTTGCCTTCTGCAACATTACATCAATGACCAACAGATTCTAGTCCGATCATACTTTCAGCATTATATTTCTTACTACAGGTCCAAGAGTGTCACAACAGATAACATAGGATGTAACACGATGAACATAGCAGTAAGATTCAACTAGTTATAAGACTTGGATTATCTTGAAAGATAAACTAAAAAGATGACTTTCAGAAATCTTAAAGGTAGATTCCTTCCCCTCAGCAAGGACAAAAAGGAGGACTTCAATATTAATAGAACTAATGCACTAACATTCAAGGACTTCAAAGAACTATTGCACTAACATTTAACAATGTTGAGTTTCCATCAACAGTTTCCCAAAAGATTATATTGTCATGCAAACTATAATCTAACATTCAACAAAGTTGAGTTGCAATAGATGGTTCTATTACCAAAAAAAAAATCTTATATTCACACAAACTGAAGTGAACATTAAAATGGGACTGACATAGTGGAGCAAACAAAATTTCCATGTCATCTTATCTTCACAAGGAGAAAGGGTAAAAGTTGTTGACAGATTGCAAATGCTGAAGAGAAAATAAGTTGATGTGTCCTTGTTTATCTCAATTGCTTAAATATCCATACTTTATTCTTCAGCATATCCACATTCCAAGGCCCGCGAATATGAAACAAGTCATTTTGATTTACACCACTAATCCTAACTTTCAACAAAATTGCAAGAAAACCCATAAAATAAAGAAAATAAAATTAACCATAAAGCATAAGAACAACAAACATATTCCTAAGCCCTTTCTCCTTGAATCCTCCTTGCGATATGAATATAAAGAAAGCTAAATTAAAGCTTTTTGTCATAGATACAAAAACAATCTTAGTTCATGCAACAGAAAATACAACATCAATAGACCCAAACTCTTTTCACAATTCTTTTCATGCAACAGAAAATACATAAAATACCAAATAGCTCATGCAACAAAAACTACAACATCAATTTGCAGAGAAATTTAGTCCAGAGAAAGAAATTCATCATATCGACAAAAAAAAATAGATTCACACTAGTCACACTCTAACGAAAATAATACCCCAATAATTTGGGTTCAATTCATCATTATAAAGTAAAAAATCAAATATACTACTCACACCCTAAAGATTAAAGAGAAAAGGAGCGATTAAAGAAAAATTACCCAAATTGGAAAAAAACTTACACTTGAAATAGGTTTCTAACAGAGCACCTTCTGGATCGAAATTTCTTGCGGTTCAAGTCGATTTCACGTACCTGTATTTGCTGCCTTAATACTTTTTAACTTTAGCAATTTCTCACTGCTGTAGCGAATCCGGCAGTGGATTCGCCATTGAAACAAGAAAGAGGAACTAAGAGAAAAAAGAAAAGTAATTAAAAGATAAAAGATTTAGATTTTTATTTAACAGATAATCTATAATGCTATGTTTACAGAATATATATATGAACTTAATAGGGGAAATAGATAATAAAGTGGGGCTAAACTGTAGTGGTAAAACTAAACAGGGGCAACCTATAAATAATAGAACTTGACCTATAATCTCCTTTCGTTACATCCCATCTCCCTAATAACAACCTTGTCCTAAGGTTGGTAATGGATGAATTCAGCAATAGTCAACTCCAGCAAATAAGCACTGATCTTTTCTTAACCAAAGTTAAACGATGTTGTATTTGGAATTATAAGATGGACAGTATATGTCTGCACTCCTTCAAGCATATGAAATATCAGTCTCCAGTGAGCATTCTTGAGTTTGTCCATCCAAAACTCATGCTTAACAAAGTTGTACTACAGGTAAAAAACAACATGAGCAGGGATGAATTTATTTGCTAACCTAGTATCCACAAAATGTCTGTGAGCAATTGCGTGATCCATAATCATAGAAAGATAAAAGCTTTTGAGAGATCTCTCCACTTCTTGGCTTAAAGCAGAGCTCTTCATATTTTCCAATCTTCTATGAAAGAGTGTTTGTCTCCTTCTTGCAATATATTCTGTCTCACTGTTTGAATAAAAGGGTCAAATAATCATACTGCTAAAAGTAGTTTTCCAGCACAATCTAGACCATATATACCTAAAACTCTTTTATGTGGAAATGCAAGAGATAATTCTTTGTCTGCAACTCTATTGGGGTTCCCATGCTTCCATGAACACTTGAGGTCATTGTAGTTGACAAAATAGCTGAACTGGAACTTATTTAGTAATCGGTCAACCCTCTTATTCCTCCAATAAACATCATTATCTTCAAATTGAACATTAAATACCCTGCTTAACTCTACCCATGCATTATTCAGCACACTGACTGATCCAGCAAAGCTATGGCCACCAGGATCAAATGAAATTTCAAGTGTGAAATGCTCTTTTGTGCTTGAAGGTCTTTAGCCACATGAAAATAATGAACTAGTGGAGCATTTAGCTGAAAGGATCCTTCCTTGATTAAGTCATGCACCCACAAACATCGTGGTTGGAAGGGAACAAAGGATATTCCAACAACCTCATCATCAATGTAAATAGAAAGATCACCAAACTTCCGTGAAGCAGTAGCAGCTTCATCTAATTCAGATGGAAGAAAACTACGCATAGAAAGTATGGCGACATTTAAGATGCACAATTTCATTACATCAATTAACTGATTAAAATCTGGAGGACTCATGAGATTAATCTTAAGATAAAGAGGATGATAGCAAGTTACTTTGAGGGGACCATTTTCCTTTGCAAGTGCATTTCTCGCCTCTCTAATCGAGAACACATCTTTGTGAATTATTTTTCTTTGTACAAGGAGCCCGATTGGCCTAGGTAGTGCCACCTTTGCCAGAGAAAACTTCACTAAATGGTTTCCTAGAGTATATGCCCTCAAATAATGACTTAAATTACCCAAAATAATCAATAGTAAGATAACCCTAAGCTGCTGATGATAAAGAGTAGCAGTATTGTCCAGAGTTCCTTTCACAGTATTAAATTCACGTATGGCCACATAGTCTGCAAGCTCTTGGCACCCACAATATGTGATTATCCGAAGGGCATTCTCATCTTGAATAAGTCCTCCCACGAGTGTAACAATTTCATACCAATCTTAGAATCTCTTTCCTTCACAAGACCATAGTGGGCTCCTTTCTCATCAATAAGAGTTTCTTCAACATAAGCATCCCCATGCTCAAGTATTGTTGCAAACTTACCAAAATCTATATCGGCTATCACAAAGTCAACACTGCCAATATTCTCACCTGCTACCCCTGATATAGATGGTTCAGGTTCCAGAGATGAACCATTCTCTTTCAAGTAATAAGCTAATAGAATCAGGCTTGTGATTGCTTTGTCAGTTGTAACTGACGATAAAGCACTAGCAAAATTCACCAAAAAATGCCACAATGCTGAGATTTGGCAGGTCACCATTCCTGCCACATATTATAACTGCTTCAAATGACTCCATTCTATATTCCAATACAACAATAATGTTGTATATTGCATCATGCCATCAAGAAATATTTGTAGCTGCCAATCTTGAACATCAATTTTGACCAATTTCTTAAAATGTTTCAAAACAGCCTTGTTATGACTTTTGACATGTATATTAATTAATGGATTGTACACAACCAATTTTAGAGGGAAATCACCAACCTTCATTATTTGGAAAACCATAGAGGTTTGTTTAAATTCATTTACCCTGGTTCTTCTTTAGCAAACGGTTCCCACTATATTTAGTGCAACTATCAGGGACTTATTCACTCCAATTTCCACCATAGCTATCCCTTCCTCTTGAGACCTCTGGTGACCTAGCCCAGCTATACCCTATTGAGGACACTTACCAAATAACTCTAATGAATCAGATTTGACATACTCAAGGACACAAATATTTCCGAAAAGCATATCACAACCTAATCTAAACATGAAGATTTTCTGGTGTGTTGGATCTATTTGGTAGGACTGAGTGATTAGTGTAATTATGTTGCAGAGTGAACCATTGCTCCATTCTTGTCGACTGGTCGAACGTTGCAGCGGAAGTAAAGCCGAAGACCGGTGACTCTGATACCAATTGTAGCGAATTCGGCAGCGGATTTGCCATTGAAACAAGAAAGAGGAACTAAGAGAAAAAAGAAAAGTAATTAAAAGATAAAAGATGAAGAGGATCCGGGACGGTTTTAACACAATCGTAACGGTTTGATAGATGAAGTGTGCCGATATCACCAAAAATCTATTGCAACGGTTGTAACCATTACCAAATAGGTTGTATGGCAACGGTTTTTGAACCGTTGCAAAAATTAGTGTTGCGATAGGCCCATTTTCTAGTAGTGAGAGAATGGAGATTTGTGTTGGCGTCTTGTTTAACTGGTCGATGACCGAATATTCCTTGGCCTATATCTTCCTCCAAAGGTCATTGGGACCTATCTCAATGAGGGGTGGCCGATTGGAGGCATGTTTGCTTGATTCAGCTAGATGCTCAGGGGTATAGACTCTACCAGTTCTCGTTATACCCTGTGTTGCGATAGTTTCTTCAATTCTGACCTTGCCCTTCCTTCTCGCCTCAGTTGTGTAGTCCCATGGTACATCATTTGTATAGAATGGTGTCATGGTTGACATTGCCATTGGGATCGGCGCGACTATCCTCACTTCAAACGGAACATGTGCCTTGGATGGCAAGACTACAACCTCAAATGGTGCGGGTGCATCTGCTGGCAACACGAATGCAACCTCAATTGGTGTTGGTATCTTTGCGGATGATGTTGCTTCAAACTCAAGTGGTACAAACATGTTCACCTTAGCGTCCTCAGAAGGTTAAATCTGGACTAGGTTTGGATTGAGAGTTATTGTTGGTTTCTTTGGGTCATCACCTTCTGCGATCAACCCAATTGATCCCTCGGGATCCCAGTCACCTTCTATTTTAATCATATAGATACCTCCACCTTTATGGTCTGGCAGAGAGTTGTTTCGGATGTTTGGAGTGGGTTTTTTTGCCACAATGATCTTGTTATCAATCAAAGACTGTATCTTGTCTTTCAAGGAATGACACTAATCGATGATGTGCCCATTCATGCCGGAGTGGTATGCACAGGATTTGTTTAGGTTAACCGACTGAGAAGGATTCTCAGGGGCTGCAGCAGGGATGGGGTGACATAACCAGCAACTTTGAGTCTCTTATACAGCTGATCAATGGGTTCATCGATGGCTGTATATTGTTTTGGAGGTCTGCAATCAAAATTAGGTCGGGGTCTAGGTAAATTTTGGCGTATATGGGGTGATTGATAATGGGATGGTTGAGGATTATAGGTTTGGTAGACATGAGTGGGTTGGGAGTATCTGGGTGAAGTAGGTTGATATGTAGGAGGTGGAGATAACTGATAAGTGGGTGGCGGAGCTTGGTATGAAGGTGAGGGTGCTTGGTAATTTGGGGTTGGCTGGTATGTAAGTGGAGGTGTTGGATAAGTTTGGTATTTGAGGTGAGACTTGGTCCTTTGTGCAACCATCATGGCCCCTACATCCCTTTTCTTGGACACACCACCAGACTGTAGAGCCTTATTTGTAGCTTGTAAGGCCTCAAAGTTTGTAACCATACCGATTTTGATACCTTCTTCAATTCTCTCACCTAATTTGATAATGTCGGAGAACTTGTGATTCTAATCATCATCAGCTGCTCAGAGTACTGTGGGTCCTGAGCTCGGACAAAGAACTTGTTCATTTCCTCTTCTTCTAAGGCAGGTCTGAACTTAGCAGCTTTGGACCTCCAGCGAGTAGCATACTCACAAAACGTCTCCATGGGCTTCTTCTTCAAATTCTAGATATATAACACATCTAGTAAGTTCTCTGTATTAAACCTGAATCTATCCATAAAGTCAGATGTCATACCTACCCAGCTTGACCACTTTTTGGGATCTTGGCTGATGTACCAAGATAATGCATCTCCCTTTAAACTCCTCATGAACATCTTCATGCGGATACTTTCATCCTTCCCTACTTTAACCAGCTTGTCGCGATATGTCCTCAGATGGACCCTTGGATCACCTGTACCATCAAACATTTCGAACTTAGGAGGTTTGTACCCGTCAGGCAGTTCGACATCAGCCTATATGCAAAGATCCTCATAGTTCATCCCCTCGATTCCTTTGCTTCCTTCAATGCCTTAAATCCAGCTGGTCAGTTTCTTAAGTTCCTCAGTCAGGTTCCTAATAAGTAGATCCTTTTCATCAGACTCAAGCATGCTTGAGATAGGTTGGATGGAGTGTGCCATGGTCTCTACGTAGAGAGGAGTGTTATGGTGGACTGGTGTTTGGGTGGGGAAATGGTCGTTAGTGGAGTTTTGAGGTTTTGGGATGAGTAATGGAGTTTTTTTTGGGGTATGACAAGTGTTACATTGGTTCTTTGGTGGAGCAACGTGATGGTGATAAACGGGATAATT